ATGGATGTTTGCATCTGTTTCTGCTCATTTTGAGTCATGCCACCTCAGCCAATGGAGGTCCTCAAAGCTTTATCTATCCATATTGTTAAGGTCATTTCTAGTCTGAGGAGTCAGCTCTTCCCTAGTTAAATTTTGAGTGCCTTCCGACCTGATGGGCTCATCATCCAGCACTATGCTGGACAATGTTTCAGGACTGTTCATAAAGTTTTCCAATAATATATCAGATAGTGTTTCACTACAATTCAAAAGGTTTTTACTGGCCAATTCTTTGAGAAGTGGATGGCCTCTTCCTTCTTCCAAGTTTGTCTAAGCCCAGAAGCTTCACTGAAACCCCTCTACCATGGGTAACCCTGCTGGCATTATACAACACGGTTACACAGCCTCCAGCCTCACAGAAACATGTAAGCCATCACAGGACAACAAACGGACAGACAAGTTTGTCTTCCTTAGTTGTTCCTAACTCCTCTGCTCCTGCCTACCTCAGGAGCCTTAATACACAGCCACACCCAAGCAAAAAGCAGCCTCCAAACCCCGGGCTTGCCTACCGCACGGCCCTGGCCTTAATGCAGAGCTACAACCAAGCAAAACGCAACCTCCAAGCTCCAGGCCTACCTACCTTAGTGCCCAACCTTAATAAAGAGACACATCCAAGTGAAAAGCAGCCTCCAAGCCCCAGGCCTGCCTACCTCAGGCCCCTGCCTTAATATAGAGCCACCCCAAGCGAAAATCAGCCTCCAAGCCCCAGGCCTGCCTACCTCGGTCCCCAGCCTTAATAAAGGCCCACACCCAAGCAAAAAGCAGCCTCCAAGCTCTGGGCCTGCCTACCTCAGGCCCTGGCCTTAATAAAGACCCACCCCAAGCAAAAAGTGAAAATGCACTTATAGAGATGATTTTTTTTCTTTTTTAGCTTGTTAATAAATTGAATTGCCATGATTACAATCAAAAAATCAAACCAGTTCAGTAATCCTGATACACTACTTAATTCTGCAGTAAGTACTATATACACAGTAGTAATAGTGTATGTGTAGGTAAGTGATTTTCAACTTTCATTATGAATTTGTGTTCAAAGTTGGGAAGATGTAATTATAACAAGTAACAGAATGAAAATATATCAACCTTAGTAATATGAAAATTAAAAATAGAAGTTAGGAAGCAGAAAGAGGAAGGAAGTAGCACAGGGGAAAATAGAGGAATTGGTAAATTCATACTATGTAATAAAAGGTTAAGAGTTTCTATTGAAAATTGATGGAATAAGAAAGTTAAATATATTATATTATGTAAAGGTACATAGTAACCAGAAGAACCAAAATTTTTAAGATAATTGAATGCAGGAGTATTCTCTGTGATCAGCACAGTATATTTCAAAAATTTGTATCTGAACATTTTAGAATAAGATGTACATCCTCTAGTTTGTCATAGGCTCCCAATCCATTTCCAATTATTATACAATAGACCAATTTATACATTAAAAATTCTTGCCTGACCCCCTTGATATCTGAGTTCATCCAAATTTAGTTATAGGAATAACCTGAAGGAAATCAAAGCAGTAGTTGTTAAAGGTGGTAGCTTCCAAATACCAGTTGTATTTCTATATTCTACCAATGACAATTCAAAAACGAAATCAAGAAAATTTAGAACAGCATCAAAAATAATAAAATACTTAGGAATAAATTTAACTAAGGATGTAAAAGATTTGTACATTGAAAAGTAAAATACTGTTGAATAGACAGGCAAATAGAGTGAACACTTACATCTGGTAGATAGACTCCTTAGAATAATGAATCATGGGAGAACAGAAGGGTAGTACTTGCACAGGAAGATAAGCTCAGGGGGGCAGGAATGCATAGGAAAGAAGGACACAGGGACAGGTAACCACAGAGAGGAAGTGGGAAGAGAGCTGTTATATAGTGGGGAATTGCAGTCAATGTCATAAAACAAAATGTGGATGAACCACTATATGGAAAATGAATTTGCTCTGTAAACTTTCACCCAAATCACAATAAAAATTATGTATCTATATTTTAAAAAATAAAACACCATTGAAAGAAAATAAAAACATAAATGAATAGGAAGATGATTCATGTTCATGGATTGGAACAGTTAGTATTGTTAAAACGGCAATACTCCCCAAAGCAGTCTACAGATTGAATGCAATCTCTATCAAAATTCCAACTGTCTTTCTTACAGAAATGGATACGATGATCCTGTAATTCACACAGAATTTGCAAGGGACCCCAAATAGCCAAAATAATCTTGAAAAAGAAGAACAAAGAGGATTCACACTAATTTCAAACTTAAAAAGCTACAGTAATCAAGACTGTGTCATACTGGCATAACAGAATTGAGAGCTCTAGATTGAGAAAAAAAAATCTGTATGTCTACGGTCAACTGATTTTCAACAAGTGTGCCAACATCACTTAATGGGGAAAATAGCAGTCTCTTCAACAAACTGTGCTGGGATAACTGGATATCCTCAAGCAAGAGAATGAAGTTGAACCCTTATCTCACACCATATATTGAAATTAACTCAAAATGGATCAATGACCTAAGTATAAGGGTGAAAACTTCAAAATTTAGAAGAAGAAAGCTTAGGGGCAATGGATTTGTAGATATGACACCAAAAGCAAAAATAATAAAAGAAAAAATAAACTGCACTTCATCAAGATTAATACATTTGTATATCAAATGACTTTATCAACAACGTTAAAAAAATAACACACAAAATGGGAGAAAATAGTTGCAAGTAATATATCTGATAAGGGTGTAGTATCCAGAATATATCAAGAACTCTGAAAAGTCAGTTACAAAAAGACAAACAATCCATAGAAAAAAGGGCAAAGGACCTGAATAGACATTTCTCCAAAGAGGATATACACATAACCAAGAAACACATAAATATTCTCAATATTATTAGTTATTAGAGAAATACAAATCAAAACCACAATGAGATCCACTTCATACCCACCCTCTCCTCTCCCTCACTGCCAACAAGTCAGATCTGACTCATAGCGACCCCTCCTTGGGTTTCCGAGGCAGTATCACTACAGAAGTAGGTTGCCCAACCTTCCTTCCGAGGAGTGGTTGGTGGGTTTGAACCACCAGCTTTCTGGTTAGCAGTCAAGTGCCTTAGACACTGCACCGCTAGAGCTCCTTCATACCCACTAGGAAGGCTATTACAAGAAAAATGGAAAATAACAAGTGCTGTCGAGGATGTGGAAAAAATTGGAACTCTCAAGAATTACTGGTAGGAACATAAAATGGTACGGCCACTGTGAAAAACAGTTTCTTAGTTCCTCAAAAATTTGAACACAGAATTACCATATGACTCAGCAATTCCACTCCTAGGTATGTAAGAAGAAAACTGCAAATAGGTGTTGAAATGAAAACTCAAATGTTCACTGCAGCATTATTACAACAGTCATAATGTGGAAACAACCCAAGTGTCCATCAGTTGATGATGGATAAATAAAATGTGGTACATACATACAATGGAATATTATTCAGCTATAAAGGAATGAAGTATGGATGCATGCTACGAGAGGGATTGCTATGAGTCGCATCTGATTCAATGGCAGTGAGTCTGGTTTTTTTCCTTGGTCATGGCATAAATGAACCTTGAAAACATTACCAGGCACAAACAAATCATATACTGATTGATTCCACTTATAGGAAATGTCCAGAACAGAAAATCAGCATAGACAGAGCACAGATTAGTGGTTCTCAGGAGATGACAGATGGGGATGGGGATGGGGAGAGAGGAAGGGGATGGGGATGGAGAGAGAGGAAGGAGATGGGGAATGACTGCCTGATAGGGACAGGGGTTTTTTTGGGGTGATGAAAATGTTCTACTTGGAAGACATTATCCTGAGTGAAATAACTCAATCACAGAAGGACAAATATAGTATTAGTTCATTATTGTAAAAAATCAAGGAAAGGATTATACACGGAAGGAAACTCTTTGTTGGTTAGTGGTATGGGAAGGGGGGGAGGGAACACTGCAAAAAAAAAAAAATGCATTGACCCATGCCACTTTAGTTTTGTGTATTTCACTGTACATAAATTATATTTCAATAAAATGTGTTAAAAAAAAAAAAGAAAATTAGATAGTGATAATGGCTGAATGTAGCATAGTGCTTAAGGTACTTGACTGCTAACCAGAAGGCTGGCAGGTCAAACCCACCAGCCACTCCCCAGAAGGAAGGTTGGGCAATCTACTTCCATAGTGATACTGCCTCGGAAACCCAAGGAGGGGTCGCTATGAGTCGGGTCCGACTTGATGGCACATAACAACAACAATGGCTGAAGGTATTAAAAGTCACTCAAGTGTTGTATACCTTAAAATGGTGAATTTTATAGGTGAATTTTACCTTAATAATTAAGAAAAAAAAGCTGCCCCGAGGGCACATAAAGTGGGTATATTTGAGGGGAGGGGCATATTGCTTTCTCAACATTTATCCGTTTTGCCTACTTATTTTTTTTCCATGTAGCAAATGGAGTTAAACAGTTAGGTAAATAAACACAAAAATGATTTCTTAGCTAAGTAAACAACATCTAAAATTACTACTAAAGGGGAAAGAAAGGGGATCCTTGGCTTTTGAATTACATCCTGTATATTCTTCTTGTCCTCTCTAATCTTCTTTATTTCTTCTTCCATTTATGTAATAGGACCATTATAGATGTAGGTCAATAATAGTAATTTAAATTTTGGACACTAAATCATTGGGTAAATCATATATACATCTTCCTCTTTCCAAAGAACACAAAGTATCTTCTATGTGAAAATAGCAATATGAATGAACAGTTATACTCAAGTTTTCCCAGGGAAAACTGTCATCAATTACTCCATAAGTAATGATACTATACTTGTTATTAATAGGTTTAAATTTCCTGAGTTTTCCTCTGACTCAAGGTGTTAGAAAATAAATTCAATCATAAAACTTTCATCAGTGTTTCTTCAGATACAAATTTCATAAAGTACATATGAAAAGTCTAATACTTACCTATCAAGGAAATCCTTGTCCACCACAGCAGAAATGTCAAGAAGAGGATTTCCTAATCCAAAGAGAATATTTTCACTAAAAAAAGGAAAAATACAAGCACAAGTCAGATATACTTCTGAAAGTAAGCTGATGTAGAAAACACACACAAATAACATAAAAATAATCTTCACTTCACCTTGAAAATAAACCTAACTTGCTAGTTTACTAAATCTTTTATCTACTTATTAGATGTAGAACAGCATTTTCAAGTAACACAAAATCACTGAGAAAGGAGGATGATATTTAAAATGGATGGAATAAAATATAAGAAACAGGATCATGAGAATATTTTTCCATAAAATTCAACAGGTAATTATTGAAACTAATTGAGTTCAATATTCTTTTACATAAGAAAAAAAGTCTGTAACAATAAAGTTTGATACTTGATAAACCTTATCAGTATCTAACACTCTCTAGATAGTAAGATGTCCAACTACTAAAAGTTATTAGGGACCACAGGACAATTCTGGAGGAGTCCAGCAAAAGCCCTATCCTTGACAATGTGTGAATGACTATGGTGGGGCCTTCAATTCACAATGGGTATCATAGATGATACAATTTTCAATCAATCAAAGGATTTCAGGATTCTCTAGTGGAAGTAAACCACAGACTACAGGGGCATTAGGCAATTATAAAAACCAGGGCATCACAGCTGAGAGGTGCTTTTGAAATTTGAGGAAGTCTGCTTTTCATAATTAATTACAAAGAAAGAAGTCCATCACAAGTGATGCCTTAACAGGAACCCAGCTAACAACAAGAAACAGACTAGTGGCCGTAGCTGGATCAGCCTTGATGGGAAGTATTCTGCTTTATTCAGTAAGATTTGACTCTCTGTAAATTCCCAGTGGTCTCTGGTTTTCTGAAAGTTCCTTCAGGTTGCCTACAAAACAATTACTATCCTGACCATCAATAATATCAGTAGGACTAATGCCATCCTTCTTCTTTTCCCCCAAATTTCCTTGCCTAAGAGATTTTGGTAAAATTGATCCACCTCAGTTCATGGAAAGTGGAACTTTGTTTGGCAAAAATTTGGGGCACACCAAAGCCTAAACCAATCAACAATTATATTTCCCTAGCTTTAGCAATCAGTTCAGAGATGGGAATGTAAACTAAGACAGTCAAATCAGATTAAACCTCAAGATGTTTTTCTAGGAATGCTTAGAAAAAGCTTAGGCATCTTCTCTGATAGAGATAAATGCAGAAGGCACTAGCAACCTTAAGCACTTCTGGTCTTAAGGTGGTTGCCTTGGGATAATTTAATATTGCAGAAGGTAGAGCAGAAAAACTGAAAAAACTGGATAACTGATGAAGCTGCAGAATTATATTGAATTATGCCTTACCTGAAATCTATACACCACCTCTGGACTTTTCGGTTATATAGGTCAATAATTTTGTTTATTGCAACTTAAGGCTCGTTTTCTGTTACTTACAACTTAAAGTATACTGACAGATATAAATTGTCATGTTTCCTTTTGTGAACCTGCTTTATTTGTGCAATACATTTTTATTATAAGGCCATGATCTAGACAAGGTAGCTGGTATTTGTATTATGAATCTATGCTCTATTAATTTTAGTTCTTCTGAGGTTAAAGTTAACAACCTGTGATATGCAAGCAACACAACTCTGCTTGCTGAAAGTGAGAATGACTTGAAGCATTTACTGATGAAAATGAACATTACAGGCTGTACACCAATGGAAGCAGAAGTCAAGACATCAGACGATGCATTGCATTGGGGAAATCTGTTGCAAAAGACCTCTTTCAAGTGCTGCAGAGCAAATATGTCTCCCTGAGGACTAAGGTACGCCTAACCTAAACCATGGTATTTTCAATAGCCTCATATGCATGTGAGAGCTGGCAATGAATAGGGAAGACCAAAGAAAAGTTGATGCTTTTGAGTTGTGGTGTTTGAGAAGAATGCTAAGAGTACCATGGTCTGCTAAAAGGATTAACAAATCTTTCCTGAAAGAAGTGTAGCTGGAATGCTCCTTGTAAGCAAGAACAGCCAGACTTTGTCTCAGCTACTTTGGTCATGTTGTCAGAAGGAACCATTCTCTGGAGAAGGATATCATGCTTGATGAAGTAGAGGATCAGGGAAAAAGGGGAAGGTGCTCAAAGAGATGGACTAACACAGTGGCTCAAACCATGGGCTCGGATATAGCAGGGATCATGAGGATGGGACAGGACCAGGCAGTATTTCGTTCTGTTGTACATAGGGTCACTATGAGTCGGAGACGACTTGACAGCACCTAACAACATCAATGAGGTTAAAGCCTTTAATCTTATTAATTCTCAGTCAGATTTCTCTCCTGGTGCAAAGGTTTATATGAATTACATAATTTTGCTGTCATAGAAATACAGAGCTTAAAAATATGTTCAACCAACATTTTCACAGTTTCTCCACTTATGTACCTCAAATCAGTGGTAATCTTATAGTTTCAGACACTTAAATTCCTATTTATTCACATATATATAGTATAGGCTGCTTTATGTCTTAACTTATACAGATCTTTCCAATTCTTGAGTATGTACACCTAGACTACTTATTCAAGGACAACTTACGAAATACACCTGAAGATGCAATATAAGTTTTAACATAAAGCAGAGCTGGAAACTAATGCTTGTGTGCAAGGAATTATCTAAAAAGTGAATCCAGAAAACAAGAACGAGGGATGGAAGAGTGAAAGAGGTATGGAGGAAAAGCCTACAAAAGATGTGTTATTGAGTTGGCCACTGTCATGGATCAAATAATGTCCGCAAAAAATATGTGTCGACTTAGGCCAGTTGTGTGATTATCCTCCATCATGTGATGTGTTGTAAATCCTAATCTCTGATTGCAGATAATGAGGTATGATTAGGTTATGTTAAAAAAGATTATGTTTGTTACCTTAATGAGGTAGGACTGGGGTGAGATGCATCATCCTTACTTTAGTCACAACACTTACTCAGGGCACAGCCCTGATCTAATATAATAGGGAGTTTTTCCAGGGTGTGGTCTGTATCACCTTTTATCTTACAAGAGATAAAAGGAGAGAGAATCCAGCAGAAAAGGAGAGATCTACAATAACCAAGAAAGAAGAGCCTGGAGCAGAGTAATCTTTTCAACCTGGGAATCCTGAACTGAGAACTTCTTAGACCCAAGGGAAGAGTGATACCAAGACACATGGAATATCTCCAAGGACTGTCAAGCCCACCGATGTTGAAAGAGACAAGGACCTTTCCTCAGAGCCGATGGAGAAAGCCTTGCCCTAGAGTTAGTGCCCTGAATTCAGACTTCCAGCCTCCTAAACTGCCTAAAGGACAATACAATGCAACACACTGTCATGGAGTCAGATCCAACTCATAGTGACCCCTCCTTGGGTTTCTGAGGCAGTATCACTACACACGTAGAGTGCCCAACCTTCCTTCCGAGGAGTGGCTGGTGAGTTTGAACTGCCAGCCTTCTGGTTAGCAGTCACATGCCTTAAGCACTACGCCACCAGAGCTCCCAAAGGACAAAGGGGGATAAATTTATGTATCACCTCTTGTGCCCCACGGCAAGAAGTACACATCATGGATCCTAATGAGAGATGCTGTCAAGCCACATCTAAACCTGCAGGGAACTAGTTGAAGTAGCAGTGGTTAGTCTAGTAAGTAGGCCAAGGGAATTTAAAGTAACACAAAAAAGTTGTCTTCATAGTGTTAAGTAAAAATAATAAAAATAATACATTTTTTTCCAAAAGCAAATGATGATAAATTACTCTTCACACTTTTTCTCTAGGAGACTACTATATGACTTCGTTCTAATATGACAAAAGAATGCTGTTAAAAACACTAATTCTTCAGTTCCGGCAAGATGGTGGACTAGGCAGAAAGACTGCATAGACCCTCTTCAACAAAGAAACAGGAAATCAATTAACACAGACACAGAAGATAATCCTGGACCCCTGAGCCTTGAAGGGAAGGATATAGAAGTGGACTAAACCCCAACTAGCAGAAGA